ACTTTTAGGAACACACCAAGTTTGTACTGCATTTTCAGTTATGTACTTTATTATCTAGGCATTAGCACATTCTCAGACCTGGTAGGTAAAGTTATCAAATGATATTTTCACAAAAGAAGAGGAAACAGTATAAGAAAAAACTTGACTCTTTTAATGATTCCTTACTATTGTCACTGCAAGTGAAACTGAAGTGGAATAAGTGTATTTAAAAAGAATGAAAACTTGGGGTTCTGCAATGTGAGAAGTAGAGTATTTATTTTTGTGTGTGTGTGCCTGTGAAAAAGCAATTTAGTACAGGCCTTCATATCCAAATTGGTAGAAGTGATTTATCCAAGTAAAATATCCTTTCAGAAGAGATAAAAATAACATTGTGTTGTCACATTATTCCACTATTCTGTTTGATAAAGTAAAATGGGATGTTACCTGTGAATCATCAACTTTGGGAATAGGCATTAATTTGCTTTGTTGTGACAAATTATACTGATGTGAGAGAGGTCTCAAGAATACCAAGTACTTCTAAGTTGTTAGTCACTGAAACTTAGTAGCGGTGGGGAAAACTAATGATCGTAAAGTAGGTATGTGACATACCTTGTTTAAAATTTAACTTTAAAGCTTCTTTCAATTAATCAATGTAAAAGACTCAGAGAACTAATGAAATAAGTTCTGGTTATATTTCTATTCAAAAAACCAATTACTTTCTACCAATAGCTGAGTATGCTTAGGGTTAGAAATAATATTTAGAGTTCCTAAAGTACTTGGTATACTGAGGTCACATTTTGCTTCTCAAACTGTTTAGCCAAAAAAGGCAATAGTAAAGCTTTAGAGATGTGGTACTTCCTCCCTGACTTGTTCATTATTATTAAAACACACTGAATTATTAAATTAAACTCGTATTAAGTTACATGGGTGTTAATATTTGCTTTTTACTTCAGTGAGTCCGAGTATATATCTAGAAGACCATAAGGTGCTTGCTGTTATGGTTGCCTTTGCTAAATCCTCTTCTTTCCATATGACATGTAATCTTCTGTTGTCATTTGGAAATTGTACTCGTCTTCAATCATGTATTTTGCAGTGCCAGGATGTTCAGATGTTGATATAGCGGTGCTGTATCTGGTGTAAGGCTTTGTGATATTCTCTTAGCTTGTGTAGAAAGGCTGAGTAGGACCAGGGTGTTAATGAGGCTTTTTGCAATGTGCTAATTAAATTTTATAAATGCATGTTGAATAGATCCAGTGGAACCAGTTTTTGAAGTAAAATACAAACACTGTGCACTCAGACTTCCTCCATAAACAAATGATTGTGATTCATCCTGTAGTGTTTCATGAACTGCACATTTCCTGCTTAGTTGTCTGTTCAATGAACATTGGTTGGCTTGCAGAATCTCCATTTCATGTATGTAACAGGCATTAAAATGGTATCAAAAATAGTTTTCTATTTTTGTTTCTTCTTTGAAGATTCTTTGTAAGGGGATGCTGAAATTCTCAAGAGTGAACAGTTGGTTAAGCACAGGGTTGGAGTTGATAAAACTGTAGCAGCAGAGGCAGAGATGTGTATTTTCATATTTGGCACCCGTGTTTCCTACTTGGTGGCAATCTACAAATATTTACATACTGCAAAAGTAAATGACTTATTGTGGTAGCTGTTGCTATTTCTTGCTTTGACAGGAACGAGGCAACTCTGCCTCAGAGTTCACTCACAGACTCTACACGCAAGTGTGGAGTGTTGCATATGCAGCTTCTGCTGCAGCTGCCATTTTGTCATCTCAGAAGGAGTGTGTTCAGACCTCCTTCTCCTTTTTTGTTCCTACATGTTACACTTTATAGTATTAACTGAAAGTTGGAAAGGAGCATTTCCATTTGTCATTTGTTTTTCAGTGTCAGTGTTTCAACAGTTTTTTGAGCTGCACATGTGTTGTAAGATTTTCCCTAGGACCTGTGTCATATAGAACATACAAGAACTTGTGTATGTCATACTTTGTTTCATAGGAAGAGCTCAGAGGGCCCCATGTACGATGGTCAGTGTTGTGACAGGTATTGCATAAACCAAAGTCAAGGCAGGGAAGGAGTATTCTGGATTTGAGGAAGATGAATGTGCTACCTGTCTCCCACTGAAGGTATCCATTTCTCTACTGTAGAGCTGGGACATTGAATAGTCTGGAGAGCTGTCTGCCACTAATGTTGACCAGGAAAGGTCACATAGACCATGAGGGAGCAGATCCTATTGAGGCACCAGCTCTGGGAGGAAGAGAGCTGAAGTTCTGCATTCATCCAGTGTGATATGGCAGGCCTGGTGGTCTAGGAACACTTTCTGCATTTCATTAAACGCTATATATGAATTTGATACTCTTAACAGGCAGTATAACAGCTGGATGAGCTCTCTTGCATAGTAATAGTATTGTTTTAAAGCAAGCACCAGATGTAGGGGCTTATTGCCCACAGGCACTGATCTGTACAGCTGCTAATATCAGCTTTCTACTCTCTTGTTCTGTCTGTAGCACGATTTTTCCTCTTGCTTCCTCAGACGTTATCCACCTCAGCAAACTGGCGCCTCTGCACTCTGAGGGTGTCTTGTGGTGCTGATGGTCCCAGTTAAGCTACAGTTAGATTTGCCGCCTTCCCTTCCCATGATATCTGGGTTTATTTTCTGAGCTGGGTTTCTTCCCTGAGCTGATCAGAAAAATCACTCACTGCTTCTGGGATGTTCATAACAAAATTGTAAGTTGTTGGATGACCATGAGTTTAACAGGATGGGTGCTCATTAGAGGTTTCATAGTAAAATGCTGACAAGTTGGAGATGTTGCATTGCACCTGTTGTGTCTCTATCCCTTTCTCAGTGCAAAGTCTGCATCTGTGTAGGAGGTCAGATTCTGGAGAACTTAGCTGTGAGTGCTTTGGAACAGTGAATTGTCTTCCTGTCATATAACAACTGCCAATGGTAATAGCCCATCAGGGCCTTGGAGCATTACTGCTGTATATTACATAAAATATAAACCAAATATATCTTAAGGGAATACAGTTAATTTAAAGTTTCTGGTGCTTGTTATGGGGGAGTTCATTTTGGGACATGTTGAAAAAAACATTTACATTTGCACTCTTAAGAAAGTGTCTTGCACCAATGAATGAGGGTTTCTTTAATCATATTGTTCTCACTCCAGTGCTTAAGCAAAAAGCATTTCAGAAGAATTTCATAGTTAAAAGCTTGGCTGGTCTCTCCCTCCTATACTAGCCTTAACATTTCTCACTGTTTTTAGCATTTTCTGATACACAGGAAAGGTGAAGTATATTAGTACAGAGAAACTTGTAGCATGTTCTATAGATTTATTTTGAACCTGCTTGCCATCAAACATTTCTGTACTAGTGTTCCCACCTGGAACAGCAATGCTAGCAAACATTATCTTTTTTTAAAACACCTGTAAAAGCTGTGTGGTGAGTAATGGAGGTGTATGTAAAAAGCACATTCACTGCCCAACATGGTGGCAGTCTAAATAGAACAAGAAACAAACCAGAAGGAGTGGGAAAGAGAGAACATATATGTCTGTTCTTAGACAAGAATCAATAGATGGGTTTGGTATATTTTTTCAGGATTAGATTTGTGATTGCTTTTTGTTGTTGTTTTTTGTTTCTTTTACAGGTATGTAGTTTTGACCTGAGATGTGCCTTAGTTTAGAACCAATCCAGCATCCTCAGAGCAGTGAGATGTCCAGACAAAAAGAAATTTTATCTAGTCCTTCTTTTGAGGAAAGCATAACAGAAAAGGAACAGCGGATCTTGTGCTGACTGCCAGTTAGGAACATCATACTCTTAACATTAAAACTGGGGTGTGTAAGCAGGATATTGACTGCAAGATGTGAAAAGTCTGATTCTTGCAAATAAACCTTTAGCTGGAGTGTCTGGTTCTCAATCCTGCAGGTCATAAAGGATGAGAGAGTCCAGAATATCCAAAGGGAAGTGTTGAGAATTATTACACTCCTAGAAAAAAAAGTGCAGGAAAGGTCTGGATAGGTGAATATTGTTTCTTCTTAGAAAAGAAGACTGATATGACACATGATAAGTCTTCAGAGAAGTAAATAGTTGCTGTATAATGGAGAGGAACAAACTTTTCTTTTTTCATTGCTAGTAGTGCAGGGTGTCCTGGGTTTAAATAATGGCAGAGGAAATCTAGATCAGTAATTAAGAAAAGTATTCCTTTCTAACAGTAAGGGTAGTCAAGCACTATAATAGATTGCTAAGGGTGGTTGTGGAGTCTCCAGCATTAACAATCATTTTTTAAAGAATGGTTTGGAGAAGTAGTGACACTTATTATTGATTCAGCCTTGGAGGAAGAAAGGATTAGTGAGTTCACAAGGTTTCCTTCTCGATCTTTTTTCTAGATGTCTTAAAAAAATTGTGTTGGAGTAATGCAGGGACATCCTAGAAAAACAGCAAAAATTTACAATGTGGCTTTGGAAAAATGTAGTGGTTTACATCCATTCCTATATTCTTTCCCATTTGAAATATTTTGATAGTTTAAGTCATGTAGAATGTATTGTGAGTTGAACTTTGAACTTGCATTTTCCCTGATTTTTTAAAGTACTTTATTAGAAAGATGGTATGTATAAAAAGAAACTTGCATATTAAAAAAAAAAAGCCTGCATTTGGGCAACTATGAGTTTTATAATTTCTCCAATAGTTCAAAAACATCTTTGATGTTTTTATATCTTAAGCTGAAACAGTATCACTTTGGTGGCAGCCCAGACCATCATATGTAAGTTATGAGTTTATAAATATGAAAATAATTTGAGATTTCAGAAAAGCACTAAATTTATTTTAAGTGGCAAAGTTATTACAATCCAAAAATCTCATTGGCTGGAAAAGCTAACAAAGGCTGAAAAATGCATTTGAATGAAAAACCTTATCCATCTGGTGTTGTTTATGTCTTGCAACTGTATTGTACTGGTCATCACTTAGTCCACATGATCTACATATGATTGTGCAGCTGTTTTTGTTTGTCTTGATTTATAGATGACTTTGATGAGCTTGTGGTGAGTAACAATGATGTTGTGCTCAAAAATATTGCTGAAGATTTGCGGAATCGTTTACCCATCGAGGCAATGTTTACTTCGGAACATCAAGCTGTTCAGAAAGTAAGCTCATTGTTACGGTCTGCTTTTGCTGAACCACATAATTTATTCTGATTTCATTTTTAGTAGTTGTTCTTAATAGAGAATGAGCACTGGACTGAGGTATAGGAAATCTCAGTTTGCTTCTCAGGTCTGTTTCTGCATGTTTGCCTGACTCCAAGAAAGTTGCTTCATAGCTCTTAGTACTTTGATTATAAGTTATTTGACATAGCTTTCATTCTGTGTGGTATGGCACCTGTCACAGTGATTCTCTAATGCTAACTCCATAATAAACTCTAATAGCACCCTTAAAGAAAAGAGAAATGCAGGGCCAGCGTTTCACTGTTGCCATAATGTGGGCAGCCCAGGATGATTTCCAGCTCTTTTCAGATTATGATGGCTCAGAAAGAGGTGGGCTGTGAGTTCTGTGGGATGGGAGAGCACCTTTTCTACTTGAGCTGTCAGTATACAAGGAAAGTTAGTGCATTTCCCAGAAAAGTGATGTGTAGCTTTTCAGTGGAAAAAGTGGATTGACCACACACAGCAAGCCTGGAAAATGGAGGAAAGAGGAGTAGGAGGATGAAGATTATACCCCTTGAAGTGATGAGAAGGCAAGCATCCCAACTGGTATACTTTTGATTGAAAGTGACACCCATGTTAATCAGGGATGTTTCTAGATTGAGGCATAAGGCATGAAGATGAGAATAGTCAGTTGAGACTGAGAAGCAAAGTTGCCCTTTCTCCTAAATTTAAGTTACGTTCTCCTCATTAAAGAGGAAGAGAAAAAGCTTCCTTTACCCTGTACCTCCTCTGTAGCCAAGTAAGCACTAGGGAGACAAACTCACATCAGGTCCCCTACCCAGCTATCGAAACCAGCTTGCTTTCCTCTGTCGACTTCCACTTACTGGTTATTTCAGTGGAATTTGATGATCCAGTTTACAGGCAGGATTTGTTTAATTTTGATTTGTAACTTCTGCATAGGGAAAAACATGGATCTTGGGGATTTTGGGAAGGGTAGGATGGTGGGGCAGTTAACCATGTGACAGTGTAAGTGAAATTAAGAGACTTGGTTATGCCTTTCTAAGATTGTGTTCCTCTTCTCAGATACACCAGCATCCACTGCCCATGATTCATGTTGATGCATTCCTTTATGATGATGATGTTGTTGATTCATTGTGTGAGGAAGGGAAAATGAGTAGGAGCTACTGCACAGAGTGTGGCTCATACAAAACTGCATCCTTAGGTAAGTGCTCTTTTGGGAACACGAGAAACAAGTTCAGTTTAACTAAACTGGTTTGTGCAGTGACTCAGCTGGACAACACAACATCTGGCTGATGGAGGGCTTTGTCCAGACCGCTGCAGTACAGAGGCCAGAATTATTTCCCATAACCAGTGGAAGGAGACTCCTGCAAACGTAAGTGGAATTAATTTGCAGTATGTGAGTGATGCTAGTTGCCCACAAAAACTGGACATGTAAGAGGCAGGGCTACGTACCACTGGAAAGGAAGACGCGAGAGGAAGACAATACTGTAGGAGTCCATGCAGTAACCTTGGCCTCGCCTCACATGCTGAAAAACAGTAGAAAGCACCATCTGTCTTAAAGCTTGTGTGTGGTGTGGTACAGATCAGTGCTGTTGCCAGTATAGCACAGGCATTGAAGGAATGGTTTATATGAAGAACCTTCTGTTCCTTAAAACCTTGGAGTTGAAATTTAAAGCTATTAGTATGCTCATAAAAATTTTTGCATGAATTGTGTTAGGCCTTAGGTACCATGTTTCCTTTTTCAGTTAAACAGTTCCAAGTTACTTTTTTTGTATTCTTTAATATATATCACTTGCAAAAAAAGGTAATTCAGTTTCATGAAGGATTTCAAAATTCTCCATGTAAGGCAAGGAATCCCCAGACTTGGGACAGATTACTTGGCAGGCTACCTCTGATCTGCAAACCCTGGTGTTCCAGGGTCCCCAGCACTAGTTCAGACAGGAAACCATGCGCGTTTTCAGTGACGATAACTCCTCAGGTTATTATTTCATTGGTTAATAACACAGTAGTTAGTACTGCCCACCCAACACCTTTGTTCTGTTCTTATTTCCCAGAGTTTATTTCGCATTCCTTTTCCCTCATGGAACTGAAGTTTCTTTATCAACATGTACTGCCTGACCTGACAGGAAAGGTAGTGGTTGACGTTGGCTCCAGGCTTGGTGCAGTGCTATTTGCGGTAACTTCCAGCACAGGAATTCATATTTTATTACTGTGACAAATATTTTCCCTCTTCTCTGACTGCCTACTCTTTTACTCCATCTTGGATGGGTCATTCTGAGAGGCACCTCTGATCTGACTCTCTGTGTAGTATAAGGTGCTGTTTACTAGCAATTTCAGTTCTTCCTGTGTTCCTCACAAGAGGGAATACAAATGATCTTGCTTATGGAGAGGAAAAGTCTGTTGTCCAACAGAATAGCATATTGCTGTCACACATGCTGCTCTTTTGCTAGTTTCTGCTGTCTCTTTCATAAGTAAGTTTGTCCTCTAATATCTTGACCATGCCTATATATAGATTCATTATGTTAAATTCCTTTATGAAGCTGACAAACTGTTAAATTATACAAAGGAAGACTTTGATATGAACTTGTCTGCAAAAACATATTGTCCTGCTCTGTGTTTTAAAATGCACATAAAATACTTCATTGAGAAACTTGAGTGCAATTTTGATTGCTTTTGGCATGGCTGGTGCAACATATGGCCAACAGCAATGCAAAACACACATTACTATTTTCTTAAAAAAGTCAGTGGCTGTTTAGGGCTCGGTCTTGGAAACACTTGAGCATGTAATTCTACTCATCTGAATAATCTAATTTTGGGACTACTCAAATGAGGGAAGTTACTCCCATTTGTAAATATTTGCAGCATTGGGTCCTTAAATGGTAACACTTTTGCTAGGCTGAATTTGTTTTGAAGTACTTAAATGCTTGTATTGTTATAGTAGTAGATATTCTCAAATAAAGCGCTCTTTTAAAAAAGAGTTCTCCTTTATAATATGTTCTTGCCATGGAGGAGGGGTGACTTCACCTTCGCAGGTTGCTTTTCTACTCTCTGAGTTGAGTGGTTTCAGAAAACATTAATAATTAAGTTGTAGTACATGGGTATCTCAGATACTCTGTATCTTCAGCATTGTTTGCTTGTCTTTGCCATTGTTGGCAAAGTGTAATTATTATGTTCGGTGGAGACAGTGGCACTTAAAGCAGAGTCTTCTTTAGAGCCCTGTATGCTCAAGTATTTGTACTTTTCTTTCCCTAACATCTCTAACATCCCTAACAACTTTCCAAAATCTCAGTCCAAAACCGAAGCTATTTTGGGGGGCTTATTATTAAGGCATAATTTAGCTTTTTTTCCCCCATATGTACCTCTATGAAGCATCTGAAAATGTTAGTAATACAATAACTTAGAGGTGCTGACAAAGACTTTGGATCAAAATACCCCATGTACATTGTCCTCTATTTTCACTCATTTTGACTATATGTTATATCTCATGTTTTTTTTTTTTCTTTTTTTCGTGCTATTTTCTTCTTCCATTCTCCCAAGAAACAAAATTATGCATTCTTTTCCTTTTGCACTGTTTTTATAACTTCTTTTGTACAGCTTTTTTCCTTCTTAGATTATTTTCCAACTGTTTTGCAATTAAAGTGAAGTTGGAACTTTCCTCTTCTTTTTATTATTTTGATGTGTCATTTTGAATCTCTTACTAAAATTTAAGAGATGTAAGTGGGAATTGCCAAATCAGGGGCTTAGCTCTGAAAAATACATTGTGTCCACTGAAAGACATTTCTCAACTTCCCGTTTTAAAATGTTTTTTTAATCTTAACTTGTGTTTTATTCTTTTCTTTTTAATTGAAAATTTTGAACTTGTTTTAAAGGCATTGCAGTTACTAAATTTCCTTTTCCTAATGTAGGGTTATCTTTATAGCTCAGCATCCCAGCTGTATGGAGTAGAAATGAATGCAGACTTTTGCAAGTTGCAAGAACTTATGATTACAAAATATGAGTTCATTGACAGAATAAAGGTAAGTAAATATAATGTTTTAGTTTATATACCTTTAATCACCATGTACTGGGTATTCTGTTTATGTGAATGGCTGGTAAATCAGCATTCTTAGAAGTTTCTGCCTTTGCTTGTTCTGGTCTGAAACAAAGGCTTTGCATTAGGGAAAAAAGAAATCTCATAGCAGAAGAGGGAAATTATCAAAATATGATTCACTTAGCCTTTTTCCTGAATGGACTTACCTGTTGGCTCACACAAAACAGATATATCTGTTTCTCCCAGTGAAATGAATGACATTATTGCCACTCACTTCTGTGAAACTGAGTGTATGAAGAATTTCTGTTACTAATTGTTGTCAGCAGAAGGATGATTGTAGGACTTAGAGCTATTGGTATTGCCTTTCATAGAATGTCAGTGTATATGTACCTTCCACAAACAAAATCTGTTTCAAACAATGTGATATCATTATGGGAACCATGTCCCTAGTCCCATTATGGGAATAACTACTAATATTTTAATGAGCAAAAAAATTCCTTTTTGGAGAATACCAGTTATTTTGTTACCAGCAAAAGTTGGTAAGTAGAATATGCTGGGTATAATACTGGCTTTAATCCAGTTTTGTATGCATGTGCTCTTGAAAGAATTCACACAAATTGCTGAGTATAGTAATTTCTTGGGAATCAAAGAATTTTAAACTAGAAATAAATAATAAATGTAAAATATTTAATGCAGGGTAAGCAGTATCATTAGGTTGCTCAATTCAATCCCAATTGCTGACAGTTGATCCAGAACCTTTGGTTTTTGCATATGTTTTGTGTTCATAACACCTTATTGTGATGAAACTGAAAGTACAGTTAGGAACTCTGTCAAGTTAATTCAGTGGAGCTGGAGACCTGTAAGTATACTTTTCATAACCTTATATGTTCTTCATTATAGGTTTTTTTGGTTTTCCTTCACACCTTGTAATTCTGCTGAAGTATTCATTTTGGAGCATAAAGATAAGAAGATAATATGTTTTCAAAGCAGTGCCTGAGGACTTAGCTATTTGAGTCTCATTAGACTAATTTGGTCATGTGACTCCTGTTATCACACTGCTTTGAACATTTCAATCTTAGAGTTTTATTTCACCCCCAAATGAATCCTCTCCAGAGAGAATACCAGCTTGAAAAACAGTGAGAATCCCATTGCTGATAATAATTTATGACACAAATTTGAAAAACTTTTAGGAGACCCTTCTTAAATAGCAATTGTTGTTTTCAAGATATTCTGAATTTTTATTAGACCGTGTTCTCAAAGGACAGCAAAGTGAAATGATATTTTTAGTGGCTAAATCTCTGAGTGAACCTTGGGTTTCATTGGTCAACACTTGGTTTGTTAAAGTACATAGAAGGTTGCTCAGCATCTTTTGCCATTTGAGCAAACATTTAAATACTGTGAGGAAAGTAAACAGTTCAACAGATCTTAGGAAACTTGAGACCTCAATTCAGAAATTGCCTGTAATTGTGAAAGGCTTGATGTGTATTCCATGGGGCAACAGAGTAGTTTTAAAATCAGTTGCTGGTTCCTCTGTTGTGCCAGCACACAGCCAAGCAGATCAGGGAACTGGTCCAGCTGAAAAAGAACCCAGCAATACTGGGGTTTTGACTAGAGCAGTACCTGGTCTGGCTCATGGTGCAGCCACACATGCTTATGTGGTCCCACATTCCCCAAAAGGAATGAGGATATGTTTGTGGAGAATGAGGTGCTTAGGTGACTTTGGTCAGCTCAGTTGCCTACTCTGTAAATGCAGAGTAATTTTAAGTTAAGTATCATTTAAGTCAAGGAAACATCAACATAACGTTAAAAGTTTCCCAGTAGTTTAAACGTCTTTCTGAATTGTGGCTTAAAATATTAGAAATGCCATTAGTAGAGCATTAAGAAAATTTAGTGCTAATCATGACTTCTTGTGCTGCAAGAAGTCCACTGGTGGAACAGTTCACCACTCATTGTATAGATTAAAGGACTGCTGCTCAGGTGGGGGTTTTTATACAGAAATTCTGTGGGTTTGTTATTTTTTCCCTTTAAGGATTAAAGAGAGTTTGTTAGGAGGAGAAATACATAATTTACCCTCAGAACAAGTATTGATATATTGTTAAGTGGACAAAACGTTTTTCAACAGGTGTTCTGATAAAAATCTATACTAACATTCAGCTTTTCTCTCCAGTATTGGTAGGATTTGACAAAATGTGAAATGTTGAATCCATCAGATTAGTGTATTCCCAGCCCAACCTAGTAATAGGTCACACAAGAAAGAAGTTGTTCAGATTTTCTGACAATTTTCAACATACAGGGATGCACTTTCAAACAAAATTTGTGGAATGAAATATTCAGATTGACTTTCTGCCTCTTATCACAGAATCACAGAATAGTTCTGGTTGGAAGGGACCACATTGGTCATCTGGTCCAACTGCTTGCTCAAGCAGGGTCATCCCAGAGCACATGGCACAAGATTGCATCCAGATGGTTGATGAATATCTCCCCTGGGAGAGGGAGACTCCACAACCTCTCCGGGCAATCTGTTCCTGTGCTCAGTCACTCACTTAGTAAAGAAGTTCTTCTTCACGTTCAGGTGGAACTTCCTGTACAACAGTTTCTAGCGGGTTGCCTCTTGTCCTATTGCTTGGCACCACCGGGAGGAGCCTGGCTCCATCCTCTTGACACCCTCCCTGCAGATTCTTACAGTCATTGATGAGGTCCCCTCTCAGTTGTCTCTTCTTGAGGCTGAACAGGCCCAACTCCCTCAGGCTTTCCTTTTAAGAGAGATGCTCCAGTCCCTTAATCATCTTTGTAGCCCTCCACTGGACCTGTTTCAGGAGCTCTTGTACTGTGGAGCCTGGAGTGGAACACACCACTCCAGATGTGGCCTCACCGGGGCTGAGTAGAGGGGCATGATCACCTCCCTTGACCTGCTGGCAATGCTCTTCCTGCTGCACCCCAGGATGTCATTGACCTTCTTGGCCATATGACTCACTGCTGGCTCATGGACACCTTGCTGTCCACCAGGACCCCCAGGTCCTTCTCTGCAGAGCTGCTTTCCAGCAGTTCAGCCCCCAGCCTGTACTGGTGCCCAGGGTTATTCTTCCCCAGGTGCAGGACCCTGCATTTGCCTTCGCTGCATTTCAATCCGTTCCTCTCTGCCCGTCTCTCCAACCTGTTGAGGTCCCTTCTGAAGAGCTTCACAGCCCTCTGGGGTATCAACCACTCCTCCAGCTTTGTGTCCTCAGCGAACTTGCTGAGGAGGCATCTGCCCCTCCATCCAAGTCACTGATGAATGATCTAAGCAATACTGGGGCCAGTATTGAACCTTGGGGGACACCAGTACTGACAGGCCTCCAGCTAGACCCTGTGCCACTGATTACAACCCTGTGGGTTCTGCTGTTCAGACAGTTCTGAATTCACCTCACTGTCCACTCATCCAGTTCACAAACCCTGAGTTTGCCTATGAGGATGTTGTGACAGTGTCAAAAGTTTTGCTGGAGTCGAGGTAGACAATATCCACTGCTCTCCCCTCCAGGTAGTTGTTTCATCATAGAACTCAATCAGTTTGGTCAAGCATGGTTTACCTCTAGTGAATCCATGCTGATTACTACTTATCCCTTCAAAAGTTGTTCTGATGTATATTTCTCCTCAGATTGGGGATGCAGAATAATAGAATATCCTGAGTTGAAAGCGACCCACAAGGATGAGGGTCATCGAGTCAGATTGATATACTTCTTTGTCTTTAAGAGGAAGTCAAACACATCTTGTCAGAATGTTAATGAACATCTATGTTTTCCTGTCTCACCTGTTGTGAAAAATTACATGATGTGCTAATATCCTTTTTGTTAGGTGAAGGTAGATGAAATCAAAACAGCTCCTCCTATGCTGACTGGAGGTAGTTGTTTAGTAAGGTAAAGCATTTGCTGTCGTCCAGTGACACTGAGCATCCTGACTTTCCAGCATTCCCAGCCCCAACATGTGTTGTGAGAATTCAGCTGTCAAGTCTGGGTCTGTAGTGTCTTTTCTAGCTATAATCTTTCAGTAATACATTGACCCTGTGAGATGCCTTTTAATATCCTCAAAATAGCTTCAACTAGCTTAGCTCCTTTCCTGAAATTGGTGAACATTTCTCATAAAATATAGGCAAGTGAAATGTAACAGCCATCGCATGGCACACAGAGTTCCAGACCAAAAATCAGATGTACTTTATTTCACTTTACATAATGGATTAAGTGTTTTAATTGGATAAATCTTTTTTTAAAAATTTTAAATTTTTTAAAAGTTATTCTGGTTATTTACTTCAGTTTTATCTACTGTGAAGCCAGTGAAATGCCCGTTTTTGTGACTGGTTCAAAATGTTGGTAGCAGGTGCTGTGTTACACTGACAAGCTTCATGACTACATGAAGGCTGTATTTGTCTCTTAATTTATGCCTTGTGAAAATTTTCTCCTTCAGGTGGTTCATGCAGACATCTGTACTCAGGCTTCACTTCTTCAGAAGGCTGATGTTGTTGTAATGAATAATGTCTTTGAATATTTTCTTGACAGACAGGAACAGGTCAGGTAAGCTCTGTGTCCAGACAAGTTATCTATTTCTTTGGCAATGTGTGTGTAACCTTGTGAGTTATGGCAAACCTTAAGGTTGTGCTTTTTGAAGTCACATACATAAATTACATCAGGTAGTTGTTTTAAACTGCCTACACTTAATTGTTACACTGCTAAGGTGTAATGGCAGTATGTATTGTTAAACTCACTAAACACTGCTGCTTTGTTTACCCAGACCTTGCCCTGAATTTCTGCACTGATCTGTTAAACAAGTATCTTGCTGCTAAAGGAGCTGAAATTAGTGTATCAGCATAAAGCTTAATCTTCAGAAGAAGACAGGTCACTCGACTAGTAGATGCACTGCAATGCATGGTTATATAATATAGATGCACTGCAATGCATGGTTATTAATATATCTAATATATCTTCATAAGCATGTGGTAGTAAACAAACACATGGCTAAGGTTTTCTTTCAGGTACAAGACCCTCACAGAAAAGCTTTTGCTAATCCAGCAGCATCAGTTTAAGATGTAAATAACCTGATCATCCGAAGTTACTGTTCCTTTAGAATGGGCAGTCAAAAAGGAGTACCTGGGTCTCCACTGTCCCAGCTAAGTCTCAGTTTCAGCTAAGGCTTGTCCTACTGCCCTGGATACCAGGTGATAATGTCAACAGAGTGGATGGCTGAAGGGCAGTGGTTGTTTCAAAATGTAAGGAGATACATTTCCAGACACATGACTGAGAATTCATTTGATTCTGTGGTAACTCGGAGATAGTGGTTTAGTGTTGCATTAGTAGTGTGAAGACAAAATACATTTGAAGAGTGCTTGAAATTAAATTCGTTTTAGTCTGAATTGCTGTGCTGTTAGAAATTATCTGACTTGCAAAATCAGAAAAAAAGGAATGCTGGGGGCTATATTTAAATATTCTGATTACTAATGTCTTAAGAGAAGTACTTTGTCACGACTGCAAGGTATTTATATAAAGAGTAGCTTGTTGTGAAGCTTGATAGAATACTGTGCTTAGAGACTGGATTTTCTCCAAACCCAAAAGTTTAAAGGGGCCAAATGTCGATGTTTAATCCTAGTTCAAAATGGTGTTGACAATACCAAATGGCATACATGTATGTATCAGAGTTAAAAAACTACTAAATCTGACATTGTAAGACCGTATATTCCCTGTGTTTTTAATAAGAAGCTTGATTTTGTTCATGCAAAGATATTTACTTAGATATTAATAGTGACTGATAAGCATGTATGGCAAGTCCTTAAGCTTAGTCTACCTCTACCCAATAAACTATGTTAGATTCATTTTATATCAAAGGTGGGGAGTTTTCCCCTAAAAATTGGTGACCTACTTTTAAATATGTTTCAGAGCTTGGGAATTTATTGCTTGTAATATAAGGAAAAGAGGGTCCTTATTAGTGACAGTTCCCAGTCTTCAAGAATCACTTTCAAAGCTCCAGGTAAGTTCCCTCAGCCAGTTTTAGCCGACACACTGTCATTTTCTATCAAAGTGGCAGTTCTTTAGTTGAGATTAGCTGCTTGCCAGTATTGCTGTAAGGAAGGATATTTAATTTTGTGCAGAGGTTAAAAGGTATAGGACTCTGGATTCTATGTCTAGGTTGACCACCAAGACATCTTCCTGTACTTTGATTGTCCTCACCTGTAAAATGAAAAATCCCTGCCTATATCAATACACTGCATGAATCATTGTATTATCATGTGTTTTATTAAAAAAATACCTTAGTTGTGAGGTTAAACACTTGAACACTTCCAGAGATGGTGACTCTACCACTTCCCTGGGCAGCCCCTTCCAATACTTAATCACCCTTTCAGTGAAGAAATTCTTCCTGACATTCAGCCTGAACCTCTCCTGGCACAGGTTGAGGCCATTTCCTCTTGTCCTGTCACTGGTTGCCTGGTAGAAGAGACCAACCCCCACCTTGCTGCAACCTCCTTTCAGGTAGCAATAAGGTAAATCCTGAGCCTCTTTTTCTCCAGGCTAAAAACCTCACAGGACTTGTGCTCCAGACCCTTCCCCAGCTCCATTGCCCTTCTCTGGACACAATCCAGCACCTCAATGTCTTTCTTGTAGTGAGGGGCCCAGAACTGGTCACAGCACTCGAGGTGCAGCCTCACCAGTGCTCAGTACAGAGGGTCCTGCTGGCCACACTATTTTTGATACAGACCAGGATGCCATTGGCCTTCCTGGCCACCTAGGCACACTGTCATCAGGGTTTTTTCAGGTATAGGGGTAGAACTTCAGAAATACAGATGTATTTAGAGACTTCTAGAGGCAAAACTTTGTCTCTGTTTAGTTCTGCATTTGCACATTGCCTTGAAATGTGACAAACTGAGAGAAAGGGACATATTAAAGAAGGACAATCCCTGAGGATACTCTATGTTTTAACCTGCTGTCAGCATAGAGAAGTACTCATAATATGGCAGTATGAGCTGTTGGAAGTACAGATTAGGGAGAGATGTGGTCTCCCAGCTAGCCAAGTGATTACCATCAGGGGTCTTGAATCAGTGACATTGGCTTTAAATTGTGGTTAGAAACAGACACAACGACAGTGCATCTTCCAAAGATGTTGAATGCCCTGTGCTACTGCTGTTCCCTGAGTAGTAACTGCTTCTGATGGACCAGCCTCTGCTCTCTGTCCACTCTACCATCGGTCATTGGTAATGTGTGTGATGCCTAGACAAATTATGTGGCCTGGCTTTAGTTAGGAAACAAAACACTGACCATCCATGACAAGGTTATTTATAAAGGGACTCGCTCACCACAGTAGTCAGCTTTAAAGAAATTGAATCAATTGTTGCCTGTATGCTGATGTGTGAAATAGATCCTCAGCCCCAGGAGCAGCAGTGATGTCATTCGACCTTTTCTTGGAGCAAGCCATAGTCACGCAGCAGCTGAGAAGTCCTTTGTAGCCTTAATGCAATACTTCCTGGGTGTAAAACAAGAAAATACTTGTAATTCTTCCATAGTACTGTTAGCTGCTCCCTGTTAGCTGCACTTCTATCAAAATGTTGTCCTCTGATCAGGACGTTTGAGGCTTATACAAATGCATATAGAGAGGCAGTTGTAATATGCTAGCAAAATATCTAGACTATTGACTGAGATAGTTTTTTAAAATTGTCTTTATTCTCACCTATATAAGTTAAAATGGCATTTCCAGAAATGAATTTATCATTGCTGCATAATTTGGAATGACTAATCTCTCATATTATGTCTTGCTTTCTTAATGTTGTACTGACCTTGAAACTCCTGCTGTTTCTCAACATGGTGTTAATTTAAGGATCTGTTTTCTTTGTTTCAGACAGATGTACAGCTCAGCCAATGGGTTGAAGAGATGCAGCTAAACTAGATTCTGTAGTACCTAGAAAAATTTACTAGTATCCTTATAATATCATATATTTTGGGTCTAAAATGAATTTGGATTGATTTGTGTGAATAAATCAGATCAAAATTCATATTGTGATTAATCTGAGTCATATACGTGGTTTGTAATGAAAAAGAGTCTTTGGAAACAGGTTTTATTATGAAGGCATTTATCTCAACAGAGTATTTTGACTTTTAACTAGGAGATATGCTCATGGTTTAATTTTTGCAGAAACGGTAGAAAGAGTGGCTACATACTGATGGTAAAAGAATTTTCATCACTAGCATTGTGCACTGCCAATGTTTGCTAAATATATCAAACCTAAGAATAGTGCATTGTTACTAATATGAATGATAAGAATGCATTTAGCATAATGTTACTTAAAAGCTGTAGTGCTGTTTCATTTTGGTATAGACCATTTATTATTATCAGTAATAATATTTACTGTCAGCAGTATTATCTTTAGTGTTCCTCCTATGGAATTTGTAGGTTTTCTTTCCAGGGTCTGCTTGGTAACCAGAGTGTCTACTGGCATCTGTTATGAGAGAAGCAAGTTCATCCATTTAGTTAGTTGTCCTTAAGGTGGGTATTAATATAAAATACTAAAAGACACCAAGGAGCCATTGAGAATTAATACAGCAAGTCTGGGACAATGGAACTCTTGCACCTTCTGCACTTTGCTGGGGGTGGTAGGAAGTGTAATAAGGGGTTAAGAAGCTGAAAATTCTGAACAGGTGTCACGGCTTAGCAGAGGCTTGGTGATGGCGTAAAACATTGGAAATTCGTAACAGAGCCTCCTCAGAGAGAAAAGATCCACATACGCCCACCACATTTATATTTAGATTTTACGTTCTAAGGATGTGAAGCTTTTAGTCAGCTGAAGAATGTTTCGGGTTTTAGCAAACATTAACAATCCAAGTGCAAAAATATTAACTTCAGGGGTTTTGGACTAAGTGAATTTAGAAGCACTGTTAAAAAGTTTGCTGCACAACTTCTGTCTAGTGTAAATGGGAAAACATTAAATTGGATTTCAGTCTTCAAATTATTTACATGTCAGTGACCTTAATAATATATGCTGTAAGCAAAAAAGATCAGTGGCCTTTAGGCACTCACTGACCTAGTAAGTAAATGGCACTGTAGATAAAATAGTGAGTGGTAAGAAGTCTTATTTTCATGGTCTGTTTGGAGTGGAAGAGGATGTTTTAACTTGAGTGATACTGAACCACTGCCCAAATACTATGTTGAATCTATACTTCATGCATTTAAAAACGAACAAAGATGGAAAGCTTTTCTTAAAATGTTTATTTTATTAAAGTACAGTAACTGAACTGTTGATTACTTAATTGTCCATGAGACAAGTGCCTCTAGAAAGGAAACTTAGGAGAGGCTAACCAACAGAGTGGAGGTAACGCAAGGCTAATAGATCTAACAAGAAGAGAATAAAAATTGAGAAAAGAAATGTGTGTGCAAGGCAGAATGAGGAAATGAGCACTCTAGTAATCAGTACAGTGGAAGCTGTGACTGAATTGGAGTGTATAAATAGGCTGCTATAAAAGGAAGACTGAATGGGTCATAAAAAACCATTTCATAACCCTACAACCATGTGAGAAGAAAACACCGTGTCGGAATGTTTTTTACTTTTTGCAGAGGTCCTGCAAGATCTCCCGAATCAATTGTCAGGACGTAGGGCTCATGATACTGGTTTTGATCTGTGCCCTGCACCTTGTTTTGGTAATACGGGAACTACAACTTTCATTGCAGTTGTTTCCCCTCTTCTTGCTGAGTCTTCAAATGCTTTTTTTGAGTGTTGATTTCAGATAAAAAAAATTTCAATAGACTGGAGCAGATCACCAGCATATTTAATGACATCTGTATCCTCTGACTCTGGAAATAGCATGCACACATCTGGAGCTCATATGCAACAGAGGGTGCAACAGGGAAGCTCCCCCTGTCTTTTTTAAACATCAGGAGAAACTCAAGAGGTGAGTTCAAGCTGCTGAAATGTGTGTTTTCCTCTCCTGCCCTTAATGGGTTCTTGATTAAAACCCTCACCTCAACATATTCACAGAGAAGAGGTGGTGGTAATATAGTTTGGGTTTGTTAAACTCATGCTCAGAAATACAACTCCTCTGTCCTTTTAGAAGCCCCTTTCTAACTTGGCTTCACAGGGCCAGAGCTTTTAGGGCCATTCTTAAGGATGTTATGAGCTGCTTAACTCATCTACTGGAGAGCTATAAACAAGTAGTGTGTGAGAGAGGGTATTAATTGTCTCTTTTCCAGCTGGCCGCTTTTAGTCCTGTTATATATTCCCACACGCAAGGGTAGCAAAGGTAAGGTATGATATGTTTGCAAAACCTTGTGTGAAAGTGGGCAAATCAGTCCTCCCTGTGCACTCTCTGAAGGCCTCGGACATGAGCTGCAATCCTCCTGGGACTGTGTGCATTGCCTCAACTCAGGTTTTGCTTGTTCAGCTCGAGGAAGCTGCCAAGGGTATATCCAGCAAGCCGAGTCCTTGTTCTTGGTTCTGCTACTTCCGAATTGTGTGGTATTTGGCAGATGATTGAACTTTTCTCTGCCTTGGTGTCTACAGTGAAAATAGAAATAACAAATCCAAAATCAAAGCAAGGCTGTGAATTAATTGATTATCAATTGCTTTGAGATTGTCATATAAAAAGTGCTAAACAGCTGAGTTGTTCTTTGTAAACTGACCTAGTTTAAAAGACCTGAAAGGCAAAGAAAATAGAAGTACCTCTCTGAGATACTTTCTGGCTTTTTTCTTCATGTAACAGCGTTGAAAAGGAAGCACAGATTAACCACACTACAGCGTTAAAAATGCGTAAATAATTAATTCCTAGTGCTCTCAGTTTTTATACTGCCCTTGCTGTTAGGTGGACATGGATGTTGGGATGAGGGGAGAGGGGAGAAACAAACCCCGCTGGTTTCCAGATTTTTGGGTTTGTGTGCAGGGCAGGTCTGTGACAGCTACTACAGATGGCATGGTGGCTATTGGAAACTGTCAGCCTGAGCTTTTCACTGCCTCAAACAGCTCTGGGGGCTGCACTGCTTGTGTGCTACATCCTCACGTGAAAGACAGCTCTGTGTATGACCTGATGGAAGTCCTAACCCCAGCTACAACAGCAAAATGCTGTGGTCATGAAAAACTCAGAAATCACAACATTTCACATTTGTAGGCCTGAGTTAGAACAAATTAACGTGAGGGAGATGCGCATCTGCAGTGCTTGTAACCACTAGGAGTTTCTGTCACACAGAAGAGAGCTCTGCTGTTCCCCAGCATCATAACTTTCCATGTAGTACTCTGGCTTCTGCAGAATGAGCTATTTGAAATTTAAACTGATCGAGAACTACTTCTGTAGTAGTAAAAGAAGGAAAAAAGAAGACTTTCTGGATCCACTGTAGTAGCACAAAAATGTCAATCTGGAAGAATGAAAGATTCACTTTGCAGACAGGAAACCTTGCAAATATTTTTGCTTGAGATTGTGTTTTCAAAAAATCACCAAATGCCTGGTGAAGGCAGCCTGGCTCTCAAAGGTAATTTTCCATGTGTCTGTTTTCACAGTAAGCAATACTGGAAGGAGCTAGTGACATATGCTTGGGAAAACTTGACAGTGGGGCAAGCTTGAAAAAAACCAAATCCAGCTCTTTCATTCCTCACCGTCTGTGGCATCAGCCTCCTCTCTTTCCTAGGTTTCTCCTGTCTCTTGTCTCTTTTCAGCCATATTCTCTCTCCCTGCTACCAGTGCCAGGACTGGCCCGTGGTGCAGCAGGAGGTATGCAGGAGCTCTGCCTGAGTGTGGCTGCAGCCTGCATGTTTTCTCTAAAAGACGGTAATAGTGAACATGACTGGTAACTTCAGTTGAGCAACTTTTAGGGTTCCAGGAAGACTGGAATAATGATGGAAACACTTTTAAGGGGCTGCTTTGTACTGTCCAGGAATTCTTGGTAGGGACTCCAGTGAAATGAGCAGAACCTGTTCCATCTCAACAGAGAGCTCACAACAGACCCAGGCTCCAGCTCCCCTGCCTCAGTAAAAAGTGGGAGTTGGCATACACAATGCGACTGCTCTTTGCCAGCGTTTTAACAAATGGCCTCTCACATGCTCTTGAGATGTCACAAGCCCTCTGCAGTAGAGGGGATAGTGTTTGTAGAAATAAGTGGGAGAAGAAGGCAGTGCTGCCTGGCCAACAACTGCATGTTAAATGCTCTTTCTGGAAATGTCTGTACTTCACTTATTCATTATTTGAGAGCAGATTTGTGTGGCACAGTATTTTGAGGAAGGAAAAGAGATGGAACATGATGCTTAAATATGTATATTTTTAAATTTGTGACACTCTGTGCAGCTTGCATCATTTAAAAAAATGACATGTTTGTGTAGCCCTAGGGGTGAGTCTTTTCCGACAGGAAGAAGGTAGTGGTGTGCTTGAAGACTTAGAGCTGATCACCTCCAGAGTCCCTTGTAGCTTGTAATGCAGGAGTCCCCTATGCGAATGAATGTGGGAGTCATTCCCCACAATTCCAACAAAGAGATCTCAAAACCCCAAACCCAGAAGTTCACTCTTAGTTGTGTTTTCTACTAAGCATTTGCATCCCCCCCTTTTTTTTTCTGCTGCATGGCCTGTGTGATGTCCCAGCCCCTCTTGCAGTTATGGTACTGCTTTATCTCTAGACCCTATCTGAGGATTTTTGCATTCATGCTTCTCAGGAGACTCCTTCCACTTGGTGGGACAGAAGGAAGAGGAAAGCAGTTTTCATTCTTCAACACAGGGTGCAGCAGAGTCCTGAGTTCTTCCTGATCTGCCCCTCTCTGTGTGAAAATGGCTGTGAGGGCTTACTTTTCCACCACCTGCCCCAAGCCCCACCAAACACCTACAGGGCAAGTGGGGGAGAGAGGAGGCTCTGTGATGCTGCTCTGCTGTGCTTTCCCAGGTTTGCCCAAGCATGGAAGGCAGCCAGCCAAAACTGTCAGCCTGGGCTGGAAATAGCAAGGATAGGAAAAGTCAGCAAAAGATTTCATGCCAAATTTGAAGCAGAATAATTTAGCAGAGTTGCTAGCAGCCCCAACAGAGGTCAGGCCCCAATCGTCTTCAGTATTGTGAGAACATATGTATTGTGTATGTGTGTACATATATCCGCCCATGGAATGAGACTCTCCTTATCCTCAAGAGTCCACTCATGTACATGGACAAAGGTAGAAGAAAGGAAATACTATTTCCTATCTTCCAGATGGGGCACTGAATTTTGTGTGGTTATTGTGATTGTGTAAATGAGGTAATTGCACGCACATGATCTGCTGTAGGATTGGTGAGTGCACTTATTGTGGTCAGTATTTTCAGGGACTTAAAACTGGGAATATGAAAATGCATACATAGCTGTTAAATACTCTCTATTTTAAAAATGACATTAAGAAGATAAATAGTTCACAATTTACTGGGAAGGGAGGAGGGGAGAGGAAAGGAACATCACTGGCAGCTTCCTGGAAAAACTATTTAAGACACTAGAATACAAGCACCAAGCTGACACACAGATAAACATTGTAAGGGCACTGATGCAATGAAGAATTTGGGTGGAGCTGCCTGCTTCCAACTGCTCAAACAAAGAAACTCACAAAGGAAAAATCAGCAATTTTAGTAGCAAGCTAAACAGAAAGCTAACAAAACATGAGGCTTAGTGTCTGAAAATGAAACAGAGCATGATGTTGCGGCAATGCTTGCCAACTAGCTAGGGTTGGATGCTGAGGATCAGTATTCTGTACTAGAGATAACAGATGCCTACATGTTTTCTTTCAGTCCTGTGTAAGGTGCGCAAGCTGAGGATGTAAATAAACGGGTCCATTTGCTTGGTAGTTTTGAAAGCATTTTGAATAGTAAGTACATTTCAGTTAGGAGCTGCGGCAGTTAGGAAAAACAATTACTTGAACCAGTAAGTTATAGTAATCTTGAACTACTATGCTATGTACGTGTACTACGGGCGTCCCTCTCAGAAGCTTACACAGGAGCATCTCAGACATTCTCACCAATCCTTTCCCTCTTTGTGCGTGTTAGAAAGACTGGACCAGTGACTGGTAGGTCATTGTCAGCCCTCCACTCTTGCCGAGGCAACAAGCCAGAAGGTGATTGGCAAAAAGATCCAAACCAGAGCCAGGCAATGAGAGGGGTTAACAGTAAGCATTCAAGGATTTTATAAT